TCTCTTGCCATGTTACTCTGCACATGTTATCGTGGCTAGATACCCCATGTCATCATAACAGTTGTGGGGTAGAGCAGAACGCACAACAGAGAGCAGTTTCTGCTCTCCTGGAGCCTTGCACTACAGTTAGATGGGAAGAATCCTCTCTGTCACTTCTATTTTTCAGTTAGGGAGAATAGATTATGTTTTATACTAAGCAACATCATAACCAAAGCAAGTGCCAAACCCATATGTTCATTTGCATCCATCCAGTGGTCAAACTGCAGTTTCTCTAGGTAGATACTGAGAATTTGCGACCTAGAATCTTGTCCTTTAATGTCTATTTTATACAGAGAGAGAAAGCTCATGTGACAGGGTTATAAAGTCTAGGACACTTGCGTTTCTTGGGTCCTGAACAGCTGATGGAGGGACTCTATAAATAAACAGGGCCATGACTCATTACTAGGATCTACAAAGGGTGAATCATAATGTCTGAGTTGGACTAGACTCTGCAGTACACAAACTTAAGGTTTACACTCCCTTGGGTTTGAAGAGGACACTTCAGATTATTCAAATCAAATTCCAACTGTGCTGCAAACAAAAACTCTAGAAAAGAATCAAGAAGCTAGTTCCTGCATCTTGGGATTCTTTCATTTCTTCTTCTTTTTTTTAATTACCACATCAGGCTAAGATTAAGTTCACTTATTTAAATTGCCCAGATAGATTCTAATGTTTAAAATCCTGAAGATATAAGGCTCATGAAAAGGGAGTTGAAAGAGACATCCTAGAAGGGAAGGAGGGCCGGCTTGACATGTAATATGTATGAGCAGTGTTTGATGAGGCAAAATACTTGTTTGTATTGACATCTGTAATTTTTGAAAAAAAAATTCAATTGCATAGACCTTTCAAAGTACCTGAAGTTAGATGACTGCATGTCCAAAGCAGACACAAGAGACTACAGGAAGATACTTCTGCATTCACAGGGATAATGACATATTTCTGTTCACTAAATGCTCCTTTAATTGTAGGGAGTTTAAATCCAGTAAAATAAATATGCCCAAGGAGCTGCACCATAAAACTCCAGATAGCTGCCTTCTCATTTCTTGTGGACCAGACTGCTGCAGCACACCAGGGCTGTATTCACTTCATAGGCTAATTTTTTGTTGGTTTACAGAAGGAACATGGTTTGCTTCTTTGCTTTTTTTTTGTCTGTGTGGTGTATGCTACGTTCTTTCATTCCTGACTGATTTTCCTGGCTTACACATCTTGTACATGATCCAAATTGGCTTGGAGCCCCCACACTACTTTGAATCTTTGGTAATACTACTGACTAAAAGCCTCCCTCAGGTTTCTATATTTGAACCAATCAAAACTTAGCTTGCAATTACAGAGATATTTTTCCTTATTCTTTAAGCTTACATTACTGTCTGTCCCATCAGTGGGCTGCTAATACTCTAAACCTTAAAGTCCAAGGAAGAGACTCTGCCCTCTTGTATCAACTTGCTTGTGTTGAGAACCAGTTAAGGCATCTAGTAGAAATCTGAGTTGGTGATTGTCAGGCTATTGAAGGATCTGCCACTCCATCCATTTCAAACCCCCTTAAATGTTCCTCATGTCACTGATCACATAAGCACAAGTGTCTGTCTGGACGATGTACATCTCTATTTAGATTTTTATCTCTAATTAAGGCAGAGTCCAAGAATTAATTTCTACTTGCTTTCAGTTAGTAGAGTTGAACAGAGAATACAACATTGTACTTGCTGGGATTTGTGTGTCAATCTGACACAAATTAAAGTCATCAAAGAAGAAAGAGCCTCAGTTGAGGAAATAGTTCCATGAGATCCAGTTGTAGGGCATTTTCTCAAGTAGTGATTAATGGAGGAGGGCCCATCCCATTGTGGGTTCTGTCATCTCTAGGCTGGTAGTCTTGGGTTCTGTAAGAAAGCAGGCTAAGCAAGTCACAGTGAGCAAGCCAGTAAGCAGCACCCTCCATGGTCTCTATATCAGCTACTGCCTCGAGATTCCTACCCTGCTTGAGTTCCTGTCCTGACTTCCTCTAATGATGGATTGTGATCTGGAAGTGTAAGCCAAATAAACCCTTTCCTGCCCAACTTGCCTTTTGCTCCTTGTGTTTCATTGCAACAATAAAACCTCAACTAAGGCAACCATATACAAACAACATTACCCTTCATGCAGACCCATCCAGGTCTTGCCGGCTGATTCTAAAGCCTTAGTCATACATAGGCCTGCTTATAGCAAATGTGCTTTCCTTTAACATGGGTAAGGTTTTCCTGATTCCTCAGAATATTCACAGTTTCCTGAACATTACATAAGAAAGCTCAATGAACTGTAAAACACAGTGTTTGTTTTCTTTTGTCATTTTTTTCCCCAAAGACAAGCCCTTTTGTTACATGGCAGTTAAGGCAAGGTATCTGGCCATTCAGAATCTTCTTGGGCTAAGTTGAACCATTGCTGTACAATGAGCCATCCAACTTCCAGCTTCCTTGACACACCACCATCTTGATAGTTCAGTGTTTGAACTATGGGCTTATTGAAGATGGAGACACTTTATGGTTCTGTTTACTACTGAGAAAGTCCTTGCCTGATAATCTTCAACAATTCACCCAGAAGATCTCAAAATTTTTCCAAAGCAAATATCGTAATTGATATTGATATGAATTAAAGAGGAATCCCCCTTAAGTATCTAAACATCACTTTCTTTCTGTCTTTACTCCTTATTGATACTTTATCTCTCCTGCCTGTTTAACTCTGCTGGTAAAATGCTGCCCCCAAGGAGAAAGCACACATCTTAGTCCTTGCTCTGAAATAATTTAGCATTTCCTAATCTACTGTGACACAAGCTGCAGAGGTTTTCAAGGATGTTTTCATAGATGAAGGAGAACTCACTGGTCTAAGTTACCAAGAATGTATGCCATGAATGGATGGTGGATATTATTCAGTACATCTTTGCAACCACGGTCATAGTATTTGCTAATATTGTGCATTGCATTGATCTCCAGATGTTAAACCTACCTAGCATTTCCAGAATAAACCACACTGAACCCAAGACAGCTTCCTTTTCTCGCTGCTTTTCATTTGATAGTAGCCTAACTTCTTGACTGCTTGTAATATGTATGGATCCATGTTGTTCTTGAAACTGCCTTTGTCTGGTTCTAGATCAGGATAATGGACTCTCTTTCAACAGGAAAATAAAGTTTCCTTCCACCTCCCAACTGACAGAATTTACATAATATTACTTTCCCTCACATATTAGCTTCAATTTTTAAAAGATACTTCATTTTTGTGCTGTGTGTCTGTGTGGTGTATGTGCATGTGTATGTAGTGGTATGTTCATGTACATGCCAGTGCAGGTGGTGTGTATGTGAGACCACACACATATGGAGGCCATAGGATGACTCTGGGTGCTTTTGGCAATGACTCTTTATCTCATTTTCTAAGACAGGCTCTGTTCCTGACCCCTGAGCACATGCACTAATCTCTCTGGCCAGTGCATCTGGGAGTACTTGCCATTCTCCAGCTCTGGAATTACAGAGAAGTCCCACCATGCTCAGCTTTTGTTTAAGCGCTGAGCATTTGAAGACAGTCCTTCATGCTTGCAGTGCAGACATTTCCCTGTCTAAACCTTTTTAAAAGTCCCATTCCTGAGATTTTTCTCTATTGATAGCTGATTTGGAGATTTTCTACATTTCTACTGAGTTGGGTTAGACCTCTTTGAAGAAATTCACCTGTTTTCTCCAATCTGAGTTCACTCACATGGTTTATAAGGTCCTTTCATCCTTTCAATACCACCAATGTCTCTAGTGAGTTTTTGGAATTAAAGACTATTTGTTGTTTGGAATTATAAATTATTTGTATTGATTGTGGGTTTTTCTATTTCAATGATTTCTCCCCTCTACTGTTTGATCCTACTGGTATCTGCTAATTTTCCTGTTCTAGTTCCCTAGACGAGACTGTATATCATAGATTTTTCAAGCCCTTCCCCCTGTTTCTGACTAACCACCACCATATATATTGTATGTCATGCTTTGAATTGATGCATTTTCACTATTATTTTGCTCTATCTACCATTTTTCATTTATTTTTTAATTTTTCTTTGACATTAGATTACATAGAAATAACATTTCATTAGTAAATATTACTATATTATATATCATATTATCATTGTTTTTGAGTGACTTTATTATGGTTGGATATCATATTCTATAAGATTTACATTTAATGTCTTATTAGTATTTATCTTGTAGGCCAGTATAGTTCTTTTGGAAATGTTCCATGTCTAATTAAAAATAGCTTATTTCTATAGTTATTATTAGGTCTTATAAATTAAGTCTCATTGTTGATAATAGTGTACTAAGGGTTTTTTATTTATTTTGGAGTCTTTAAAAACAATGACTTTTGTGAAGCCATGTTCTCAGGTTTCAATAGTGTTCATGGAGTTAGTTACCTCTTTCTTCCTTTAATTTTGTCAAAAAGTCTATTCTTGAGGGATCTCAGGTTTATTTGATACATCAATTCATTCATATTCTCAGAAGCAAACATATATCAAAGTCTCCTCTTTCTGGATAGAAAGCATTACTTTTTGTTAGAAGACTTACAAGTCTTGCTGTCAGCCTCAGGGTTGTTTTTAAGCCACTTAGATCAACTTGAGTTGTTTTTACTTCTGGCTACTGGTTACCTCCTCGCTGATACAGGGGCTGCTGAGTCACAGAAGTTAAAAATTCTCCTCGTTCCTCTGTGCTGCTAACAAGAATGACTTATTTCAGGACGACATCCATGTCAACATAGGCAGCCTTGATCAGAGTCTGACCTTTTGTTGGCCTCATTACATTAACACACATGTAAGTTTGCACAGCAGAGCAAGTCATGCATTCTCACTGTGGATTCTATCCTGATTTCCAGTGTGCTGCCACTGACATACATGAACACTCAAAAGATGAAAGGAAAAATTAGAAATGTTTGCTGAAATGTCAGTTTGATCTCTGCTGCCCCTATTCTAACAGGTCTATGGAAATGCAAGATCTAGCAAGTCCCCATGCCTTGGTTGCAGGCAGTGATACATCTGGGAGCTCCAAGCTGGATAAATCCGGTCTCAGCAGCACTTCGGTCACAACAAATGGGACAGGAGGTAAGTGCCATCCCAAATATGCCAGAGTCACCTCTAAGGGCTTGCCTCAAACTTCATGTAAGGGGTTGTTAATAAATAGCTACCCTACTCCTGATGCTGTGATCAGAGTTACATACAAGGAAACCCATCTAGTTTATAAATGTTCCACTTATCTCCAAAGTTATCTATGCTCTTATCTCTGCTCTTATCTATGCTATGAGCATACACAGGGAATATAAAGTCCTGAGAAATTTTATATTTGCCCTTAAAAATATTCCATAGAATTTAAAAATTGTGGATAAAAGATACACACACACATTAATTTGCATATTCAATATTTTTGTTTTAGTTTCAAATTTAAATGAAGTGCTCCCCAATTTTCATTAAAATGGTGTTTCTTTCAATTGATTTAAAATGCAATAAAATATTTATATCTGCTGCATTTTTCAAAAAGAATAATACTATGACACCTGGCATTTATATGAAAGAATGAATTGCATTTTCCCAATTTTCTCATTTTATTAAGTTACAATTAATGCCACAACTTACGATAACAGTAAGTTATTATTTCAAATATTCTCCATTACTATTTTTAAGAAATGCACTCAGTTTGTCAAAACACATGATCCAATTGTGTAAAAGATATTTACATTTAGAAACACTATGACATATATAAACACACAAGCAATATATAAAATTGTATTTTAAATTATTCATTATCAGCCTAGGAACCAAAGTCAAATTTATGAAAACTCTGTTTTACTTGACAAACTACTCATATGGCCAGATATCAGCATTTGCCACATCATATTTTCTTGTATCTGTGAGATTGATATACCCCTTCCCAAAAGTTCATGTTTTTCTTGTCAAGTTGTGTGCATTGTAACCTACCCTGCATTTTAATAATGTGTTACACCAAACCCTTTGTAGATTAACACTTCCCTTGTTAACTTGTCTCTAAACATGCATCTGTAATTTCAAGCTAATGAATGGATGGATTTGGAACTGCAAGTGTTTAGGGATATTTAGTCAAACCCACCAGAGCATGAACATTCATTTACTGTTAAAGTCAGAGCTGAGTACAGATAATAAGGCTGAACAATTCAAGCTCTCTGAAAGAAGAGCTGGGAATTTATGACTCACACACATAGTTGCGAGGACCAAAGCAGACCTAATGCACTAATATACAGAAGGCACACAGTACAGTTAGTCTTGCTGAAAGGTCGGAAACTGGTGCCAGCACTGGTGATTACCCAAGGACACTTAGCACACCTTCAGACGATGAACTCTTATACTGTTCCTGTTCTCAGGGGACAACATGACTGTTTTAAACACAGCAGACTGGCTGCTGAGTTGCAACACCCCCTCTTCCGCAACAAGTATGAGAGCCGATGGTACACTGCATGTGTTTGGGTGTGTGGATTTGACATCTGGTTTGCTGTCTGCTATATGTTTGCTCCTCTTTTCTATGTTCTACACTTATAAGCTAAAACTGGCAAACAAACAGGCCTTGTATCTCTCCGTGTTTAACATCTGGCTGAAGTTTTCTTATCATTTATTACTCTAATCTTATATGCTTAGATCAGTGGGTTTTTTTTCTTATATTTTTCTTTTTTTGGGGGGGAGATTTATCCACTTAGATTTATTTATTTATTTATTTATTTTTAGTATGTGGATCTTGTTCAAATAGTATTATGATAATCACATTTCTTTTTTTTTCTCAAATCGTAATTAATTCACACAGGGGTTATAAACACAGAAAGGCAGGATGTGGGGAAGGGAATGACACTGGAGTGTGGTGTTCAGGGGGAATACAGATATCTTCAGAACCTGGTATCAGCTAGGTGAAGGTTCAGGGGACAATTCACTATGACTCTGCCTATGACTCGCTTGTCCTTATCTAAGTTGGTACTGTCTGCCCAGGCTACCTATTTACAAGGTCTATGACTACTCAGGCTTATAAGTTTCCACAAAAGCTGCCTGTTGACATTAGCTTATAGCCATCTGTTTCAATGTTTTTCCACTGAGACCCAAGACTTGGTGTTAGTATACATGTATGACAGGCCTATTGCTGATTTTAGGCCTATGGGTGATTTTAGGCCTACAGTGTGTAAGCAGGGCTGCCCCTGACATCTCTCTTCTCTAAGTATAGAAGGGCTGTGGCAATTCTAAACTTGCGAAGGCAGGGATAGAGGCCTGACCTCCAGTATTTGAAGGGGACCTTGTAATGGCTCCAGTCCCCCTGTCGTTGTCCAGTGAGGCATGAGGGCCATATCCGTCCCAATGTCTTTTTCCTGGAGAGGGGATACTTTTGACATCAACCCCTATGCAGTCAGGCTTGTCCCTCAGGGAACTCAGACAGATATTTTTATCTTTTATTTATATTCCCTTGCAGTGCTTAGCCTCGCAGCCTAAACAAGAATTCAGATCGCCTGTCAGAGGGGGTTCTGGGTGGCCCCTCTCTGCTTGGTCTAGGGGCAGAAGTCCCCCCCTTTTAGGTTGGGTGAAAATGGGTTTTGGAAACATCCTGTATAAAGTAACAACCTCATCTTGAGTCTCATGGTCCTCCATAGCTAACTTATGATAATGTATCTGAGTAGGTTTTGCTACCAAATTATTTATCTGCTGTATCACAGAGTTAGTCTGCCTATTTGAGGGCCAGAGACCAGCAGAAAAAAGCAAAAAGAACCCAAATAATGGTCCCAAGATGGAAGGAAATAGGTTTGACAATCTTGGAGAGGCTGCAAACCAATTCTTGTACCAGCATTCATCTGTCTCTTTCTCTCTCTGATTTTTCTTAGGGCTTTCACTACCTATTTCGTGCTCTCTTTAACTCTCCTTGTCTTGTCTATGTAAAGGCAACCTTCTTCTTTAAGAGCTGTACACAGTGAAGAGCTGTATACAGTCTTTTCTATTGTACTAGAGTAAATCAAGTCCAATAAGGATCTTTGCGATTTTAGGAGGTCTCTTCAGACAGTGAAACGAGGGATTTCTTCATATTAGTGATGTCAATCTCTAGCTGTTTGATGTTCTTGTCAGTGGCCCTTCAAAGGTCTGAGTAGTATAAGTTCGGAGGCCAGCGTCTGGATTAGAACTTCTAACAGCAGACATCACGGGTTATTCATTTTTACCTGGGATGCTGCCTGAGTTAAAGCTCCTGGGAGTCCCTTTTTCTCTCGGTTTTCTGGGCTTGGGTAAGGAGCTGCCGCCTGTGACCTGCTCTATGCTCGGGCCCAGACTGGAAGTCCTTATATTTTTCATACTTCTGCACCACTGGGGATTATATTGACTCATAGTTAATTATCAGTTTCTTATGCAGTTCCTTCAGCACAACAAAATCATGTCAATCAGAACAGTCTAAGCCAGTGAGAGTTCAAAGAAACTCAATTACCCAATGACCTAGTTATTCCCTCAATTTATATTCTTAATACTACTACAAGGTTTTTACTATTTTATACTTTTGAAAAAATATTCCAAAGAATCTAAAATAGAACTAGCATTCAATATTCTACCATTTTAAAAGTTACTAGTAGTGACAGATGTGCTTATAATATTATTAGTATGATGTAGTAGAATATACCTGTAATCCTAGCTGCTTAGAAGACTGAAGTAGAAAACTCACAAGTTTAAGTCCAGCCCACATAGTAAAACCCAATCTTAACTAACTGAATAAATGAATAAATAACAAAATTAAAAATTAAGCCTCTTAAAAGGTTCCAATCTATCTATGTTGACTGCATTCATCCGTACATGTAAGCATTCTCCTAGAATAAATGCTAATATGCAATCGAAAGTTAAAACAAAACCATCACACTCCTACAGAGCCTTCTGTCTTAGGATTTAAATGGAAATGTAGATCACATCCAGGCATTAAAATAGTTTGGTTTAACATTGCTCCATTTCAGACTAAATTAAAATATATGGCAAATAAAAAAGTATCATATTCATTATTTATATTTTCGTAATTTGAACTGCAAATATTTTCCATTTTCATGCTTAAAAAGTGTTGTCAGAATGTAGCTATTCTTGATTCCTTTTGGTAAAGAGCCAGATGGTAAGTGCTCTCCCATGATGGTAGGTCAGTCATTTGGTTTACTCCCACAGCTCATCTCCACTGTGGAGAACGAAAAGTAGCTCTAGGCTGTGTGTAAATAAAGGCACGGGGTTCTGTTCCAACAAAACTGTATTGATAAACCCTCATTTAAATTTTACATGCTTTTTTGTGTTACAAATATCTTGTGTTACAAAATATTCTGATTTTGCTGATATTTTTACAAAGCAATTACAATGGAAAATTCATCCATGGCTCACTGATATTTATTCCAAAATGGTTACAATATAATCACATGTGATACAAAGTTACAATGGAGAACTCTTGCATTGAGAGTTTCACCCAGTCCATGTCATCTCAAGCAGAAACATCTTCCTAAGTATACAGCATTACTTTTTCCTGGTCTGGCATGCTATGCTCAGGTTGTCTGTAAGGGCAAGGATGTACACAGCAGAAGTACAATGAATCTGGACTTTAGCATTCAGCTACACTGACTGGCTGTGTCATGTCTAACAAGTTCTTCGTTCTTCCATGTCTTACCTCTTTAATATGAAAGGAATATTCAAGCCATCCTGGTGGGCATTTTTGTTATTAGATTAATTGATTGGTGGTAAATACCACTATAGTTTTCTCCAAATAGATAATTCCATAACATTTAGACAATAGTTTTTAAAGGAAACTAGAAAAATTCATTGTTTGAAAACATTTGTCATGCTACATATTCTCTAAATTTATAAATCCATAAACTGGGCCAAAGAAACCAACCACGTAGTATTGGTATGCTAGAAATAATTCGATACGATTGTTAAGCTATAATATTAATAACTAATGATAAAATGGGTTCTCAGACACTGATAGAGAAATTTTAACAAATTTTAATGATGTTTCAGCAGTTCTTTATGACACAAATGTTTCCTGTTTGATCTCTCTTATTGAGGATAAAATACATTTAAGCGATTTATTTTCATGA